AGGAATGGAAGGAAATTTTCCCAAGGGGCTCACATACAGCCTCTTTTCCTAACAAGGAACGGAGATGTGAATGGTGCCCTCCCAGGGACCTCTGGGTATCTTTGGGTGAAGTCTTGAGACAAAGCAGGCGACCCTGAAGTTGTTGCCTTTCCTCTTTAATTTGTATTAACACCTTGGTATGTCACTTATTAAAGTGACAGAAACATCTGGAAACACCCATTGCCCTTAGGCCGCCTTGGACGTTTTCCTCTCTGAGCAAGGTTATGAGCAAGGATGGCTTAAGCTGAGGTGGACCTCTTCCCTTCTGAAGCATCTGGAAACACACGCAGAACAGTCTGTGTGACTGATCCCTCTGAAAATGTTATCTGTACATGGATAAGTTTTATCCTTCTATCTTCCACGAAACAAAAAAGAAAAACAATCCTCTTCCCTTCTTTTCATCTTCTAAAATTGATTCAGACTAACAAAAGATAAAGAGCTCAAGAAGATATAAGTGGCATTTTATCAGTGATAATCTCAGGCAGGAGCAATAGAAAAACATAATCAGTCAAAGGTTCTTTGTGAACATTTAAGAGCGGAAAGGAGAGGGGGCCAGAGATGGCTGTTGTGGAAGTCGGGATGCAGTTCCCATAACCTCCCAATTCCAAGGACGTCAGAGGTGAGCTGGGGTTTACGTTGAGCTTCCATGCACACTCCTTGAGCAACGTGGAGGAGAGCCCTAGTTCAAAATGTGACTTGCCTGTGATTGTGGGAAAGACTATGTTCACGAAGAGAGTTTATAATGGTGGTCCACAGGATAACCCAGAAATAGTCTTTTAGACAGAATGGATTCATACACAGATTGCTCTGTTCATTCAAGACATTCATTTATATCTTTGGGAATTTCTGTCCAAGGCTAACCCACCATTCTCCCGTACTCCAAGAGTAAGGCATAAAAGCTCTGGAATACTGGAATTAGTGACACAGCCTATTTTGATGCCTTGGTTTTCTTTCCACACATTTTCATTTTATATTATCCTTCTCTATTAGAGTGTGCCCTTGTGCGTTTCCATTTCCTCATCTGAAAAGTGGAAGGAATTCATATTATTCAATTCAAAGTTTTCTCAGGACAAAATTAGATACTATATGTTAAATTCCTGGTAAGGGTAAGCACTGCGAGGTGAACACTTAAGAGCTTTTTTAATGCTAGTATTTTCCACTAGATCAAGACAGGGCAATATCCCACCCTTCCTTTGTGTCCCTCCCCACATTCTAATCTCTCATTCACCTTAAGGTCAGCATGAGCCCCAAAATCAGGCCGCCAGCCTCCCTACCTCCCTCCAGGCATACCTTGTAGAGCGTATAATGGTTTTTCGTCACTGCAAAGATGAGGTTGATATTGTTCTCTGCCAACTTCTCTCCAAGCAAGGCAAGGGATGGGTAGTCCTAAGGCCAAGGCAAAAGTCAGGTTGTAACACTGCTAATAGACTGAGATACTACCCACCAGGCTCCAATATATATTCAGGCAGCCCCTTAAAGCCCCTTAATAACCAAGGCGCCCCCGCTCCCAGCAGCTCCTAACTGAGGAAATGTGTAGAGAAGATGCTGCAGAAAAGGACCCTCTGGCACCTACCAAACTAGATGGTAGGTGCCTTCTACCCCTCCCAACCCAGAATGGAGACATGATGAGTGCTGGCTTTCCATACTGGACTGTGTCTCCATCCTTTCAGCAGAGATGGGGCAAAGCAGGGAGGCCCCCAAAACAAACAGCCACTACATCCTACTATGTATCATCAGTACCTGTTTCCTTTCCTCTCTTCCCCAAGACCTTTCCTCTGTGCTCTATTTTCCTTTTCCTATGACTAACGGTTGGGCCTGCCAATGTCCCCCACAGATCCTACTCAGCTCTGCTCAGGGCTCAGGATGGCCGAAGAGGCTGCTGGCCTGTAGACTGAAAGTTGGACCATGGAGGGGGAGGAGCCACAAGCAGGAAGGGAAGGAGGAGGCTGAAAAGCAGTTTAACAATATCCTGAAGGATTTTATGGGCTAATGATGGGTACAGGTGTTCATATCAGTTCTATAGTTATCAGGTTCTGTAGCTATGATTACTTTTTCCAGACCCCATTATTATTAGATAATATGGAAGGCTTGGACACTGGCTACTTCTTAAAACTGGAGAAAATGAGCTTGTCCAGCGAAGAAAATTAGTAAGAGTTCCTCTCTAGACAGGCACCAGAATGGATTTGGGAAGGAAGAGGCACAGATTTTTTTTTTTTAATTGCATAATAAGTGTAATAAGATCTTGGTAATTATTGGGTCTGGGTAATAGGAATGTAGGAGTTCATTTCACCGGTCTATTTATTATTACATATTTTTGAATTCTTGCATAGATTCCTTTAACTTACATGACCATGGTTACAGACTCTTAGGAGTGGAAGGTCCTTGGGGCTTCCTACTGCACGCAGGATGCCGTCTGCCTTGCTGAACTCAGTGTCTCAGAGAGCCCATTTCCAGAAGCTGGGAATTTCTGTCTCCACTTGTCTTGTCCTATAATTCCCATTCCAGTTTTGATCTCTGCAGGAGCACAGTCCTTGCCCCCCTGTAAGATCATCTCTCCTCTTTGAGATTTATCCTCTTCCCTCAGTGAAACACTCTCATTCAGGTGCACAATAGCAGAAAGGTGAACCAGCTACAGAAATCCCTGAGAAGTGTTTTTAAGTTAATGAAGATTTCTGAAAGCCCAGCTGGAGAAGATGGAAGAACGAAATCCAATCTCAAGAATGGAACGGAAAGTTAGTGAGTAGAGGGCCCAAGAAAGGTGAGCCCTTGGACCACGGGCAGAGTCACAGGGTGGCACTGGGACCCCCAGCCCTCACCATTTGATTGGACGCAGTGTACTCATTGGCCTCGTTCAGGTGGCACTGGCCGTCATGTGGCTGCACCAGGCCCCCCAGTTTTCCATCTAGTGCGATGTGGGGCACGTCGTCTGTTGTGAAGACCAGCAAGTGCAGTGCATCCTTTCGCCAGCCGATCTTCTCCTGAGGGATGGAAGTTTGATGGGTGCAAAGCCTTTCTGGACCCTGCCCAAGCCAACCCCAGAGCATCAGACAAGGCACTGGCTGACCTCCAGCGGTCATGGTCTGAATTGGAGGTGTGTACCGGGACCTCATAAAACCACTGGAAAGGGATTCCACAGAGCTAGGAAGAGACACAGCCTGAACTGGGGAACCCTAAATGCCCAGAGACAAATTTCCCAGGCATGGTTCACATAGGCCCAGGCACCTGGAGCTCTCCCTCCAGCCCATCACACTCTTCCCTTCCTCTTTCAGTTACCTGAGGGCTGCTTCTCCTTCTAGCCTCGCCTATTACTTCTTCCCCGCCTATTATCCCACCCCCACCTCTCACGACACATTCGAGCTGGCTGGCTGTCTTGTCTAAGATGATGGGTAAGTGTACATTCCAGTCCTGCAATTAGATTGAGCCATTCAGAATATTGTGCTCAAATGACCAATAGACAGATTTGTCTTTTGAGGATTTGGTAAAATCTGCCATCCATGCTGGTAGGTATAAACCACTCTAGTCATTAATTGAGCCACTTTGGTGTTTAAAGTCAATCAGATTGCCTCTTTTCTATCTTTAACGCTTCACTAAATGTAATGTATCCACTCTTTAGTTTGAGACACAGCGGTATAGTCTGTACTACAAGAGAAGGACTCTATTTTTCACACTTAGCCACTGTGGTCTCAATGCTACACAAAAACACTCAGCTGTTAAGAGCATCTAGACCCCTTGCACCAAAAACTGAGGTCAAGTAGCCATCTTACTAACCGTGAAAGGGCATCCCCAAACACACTGGTAGCAAGTTATATGCGGGGTTTAAACACTGCTGAGAGTTATCGACACGTACATATCTGATACTGAAAATAGGAGATTGGATTCAGGGACTTGACACGTTAAAAGCTATCACTGTTACGGCAGATGAGAGGTTGAGGGTAACATCCTCTTTTTCTTATCACCATATTGATGGATAAAACAGCCTTCCAGAGCTATGTTTTCTTGCTTGCTCCCAAAGCAGCATAGAAATAAAAAAAAAAATAAATCACAGAAAGTCAAAGTGAAAAAGGTGTGAAAAGAAGTCAGCAAGGACTGAAAGCCGGGAGGTCTACTGTGAGCAAGGGACTTAACCTTTGGGGAATCAGTTTCCTTGACTCTCAACATTCATTCAACATACAACTACTGAGCTCCTACTGTGTGCCAGACCCCATTAAAGGCACTAGATCTACAAAAACAGCTTGCTCCAGACCTCAAAGAGCTAGAGTCAAATGGAAACACAACTTCAATCATCATGATTAGCTAATGAAGGTAAATACAATGTCATGGGAAACTGGGAGAGAAGGAGGTAGGAAAGCCTTCTCCGGGAAGATGAAACTTAAATGGAGCTGGAAGGATGAGGAGGACTCTTCAAGGAAGATAGAAGAAGAAATGAGGGAGAAGGCAGAAGGGGGTGGGAAGTAGGGGTGTTCTAGGCACTCATGAAGGCACAATGAAGAGGCCAGGGACATTTTCAGGACCTGGAGTGAAAAACTTAGAAGGTCCTTTACAGTGATAAAATTCTAAGCATGACATAATTTATGGTGTTAGACATTGAGACAGCGGTTCCCACGAGTGGCAGGATTGGGGTGGGGTGGGAATAATAACTGGAAGGGGGTCACAAAGAAGCTTTTAGGTTGCTGGTAATGTTCTCTTTCTTACTTTGTATCTACTTTGCGAAAATTTACAGAGATGCATTCTTATGTATAAATATCTGTATGTACATTATACTTTGATAAAGAGTTTAAAACCCTTAAATTAATAAAGCAATAATTTAAACCATGGAATGTAGAAGGAGGGGGAGTGAGATCTTTGGAAGATAGAGCATAATCAAGAGAGTATAAATCAGAAAGTTTTTTTGCAGGAAAAATGTGGCTTTCTTATCCAGAAGGGCACAGCAATGTGCTAAACACCCTAACAAAAAAGTAGAAGACCAACCTTTAATTCAAAAAGGTGCATTAAGAACCTTAAAGAAAATCAAGAGACTGAATAAATGGACAGAGAGATCGTTCTCGTGGATAGGAAGAGTCAATGCTGTTGAGAGTCATTTCTGTTCAGAGCGATCTATAGATTTGACACAATCCCAATCAAAAGCCCAGATCTTTTCGAGAAAGTGGCAAGCTGATTCTAAAATTTATATGAAAGACAAACAATGGAGACTGGCCAAACAATTTCGAAAAAGAACAACAAAGTGTTCTCATTATCTAAGGGAGACTCATTATCTAAGGTTGAGGTTTATTATAAAGCTACAGTAATCGAGACAGTGTGGTACTGACAAGAAGACAGACGCATAGACCAGTGGAACAGGACAGAGAGACGAGAAAGAGATATGGTCAATTCAACAGGAGGTACCAGACCAACAGACATCCATAAGCAAAAACATTGTTTAACCCGTACATCTCACAAAAAATAAAAACTAACTCAAAGTAGATCACAAACCTCAAACTAAAAATCTTTTGGCGAAAACCGGAGAAAGCTTTGTGACATTGGTATAGGCAAAGATGTCCTAGAGAAGATAATTCATAGGATATAAAAATTTATGAACTGGACTTCATCGAAATTAGAAATGTCTGCTCTTTGAAAGATACCATTAAGAAAATGAGGCACAGATTGGGAGAAAATATTTGCAAAAATAAAAATCTGATAAAAGAATTATATTCAAAATATATCAAAGAACTCTCATGAGTCAATAATAAGAAAACAAACAACTGAATTTGATAGAGACTCAGAACGACATTTCACCAAAAAAGAGATATGGATGGAAATCAGTACGTGAAACACTAGTCATTAAGGAAACGTACATTACAACCATAATGAAACAGCCCTTTGATAGCTACTCCAATGGCAAGCAAACCAACCCTGATAATACCAAGTGCAGGTAATAATGTGGAATAATCAGAACTCTCATAATTGCTGGTGAGAATATAAAATGTTTCGGCGAGTTTAGAAAACATTTTGGCAGATTCTTACAAAGTCAAATATATACTTACTATCAATCTGACAATCCTGCTTTTTGGTATTTACCCAAGAGAAATGAAAACTTATGCTCACCTAAAAATCTCTATGCAAATATTTACAGCAGCTATTCATAATCACCAAAAACTAGAAACCACCCAAATGTCTGTCAAGTAGTGGATAGACAGACACGTTGTAGTACATCTGTACAACAGGATAGTATTCAGCAATAAAAGAAACTACTGATACACATGTTGGATAAATATCAAAAGCCTCATGTTAAGTGAAAAACGCCTGACTCGAAAGGTATTTAATTTACTAAGTCCATTCATATGATATTTAGGAAAAGACAAAAATATAGGGACAGAAAACAGACAGGCGGTTGCCAAAGTCTGAGGATAAAGGGAGTGAATAAACAACGAAGGGACATTAGGACACTCTGGTGATGAAAATAATCTATATCTTAATTGTGGGGGTGGCTATAAGTCTCTACATCTAAAAACAGTGAATTTTACTCTATGTAAATTATCTCCCAGTAAACCTGACTTTACAAAAAAGAAACTCTTATAGAAGTATATATCTTTTGACTCAGTGATTCAGGGAAAGACGTAAATATCCTACTCACCGAGAACAGTTAATTAAGTCAGTGGAGCTACCTCCTCTATGGCCATCAGAAATTATGTTCATATGAGTATGAAATTATGTGTAAACATGTATAATATCAAGTAAAAAAAAAACAAAGAATACAGCATTGTAATTGCAAACTATGTAAGAAACAAGCATCACTTTCTATTAAAAAGACAAAAAGAGAGATTGAAAAAAATACACCATAATGGGGTTGGGGTTGAAATTATGGGCAATCTTTTTCTTTTTTCCATTTTTTCCAAACTGTCTTTAATAAGCAAGTAATGTTGGCTCTGCCATTTGTTTTGGTCTCCTTTTCTTCCATGCCAGCTTCTCAGGGGACCTGCAGGGACCTAAAGGAGAGTGGCAGCAAAGAGACAGAACGGAGAACCAGAGTGTCTGATGATGAGCATTTGAATTGTGTTGCTACTCCTAATTTCCCATATAGTTTTGGCCAAATTATTTAACACTTTGAAAGCTTTTTGATTGTCAGCAAGACAGCAATAACAATACTTAACATCTATTGATCACCTGCATTATTCTATTTAATCCTCACTGCAACCCTTGCGAAGTAGGTAATATATATGTAGCGCCATCTTGTAGATGAGGAGACTGGCGTTCAGAGACATTAAGTAACTAGCCCAAGGTCACCAAACTAGTAAGGACTCAATATGCCAGATTCAGATTACTTGTCTCTCATTCAAAAAGCTAAACTACCCAATCATATAGGGAGAGAGGAGGGAATGTGTGCATGTGTGTGTGTGTGTGTGTGTGTAATAAATGTAATAATTCATGAAAGTGTACATGGTAGGCTCTCAACTAATGACAGCCAGAACCAAAATAAATGTTTGTTGAATTAAAAGGTTGCATCTGAAATGGAAAGAGCCCCACAAATGGAGAGCGGCACAGCATAACAATAATAAATTCTGTTTTCTCTGAAGTGGATCCTTGTTATGTAAGTGATGTTAACAAACTTGGCCCAGAGGTTTGGCCCAGAAGTTGGGCTTCAGAGCATGAGTCAGGACAGGCTTATTTATTCACCCAAGCTTTGGGGCTTGAAGGTTTTACAAGATTCTACTCCACAGATAATTTACATTTGAAATAACTTTTCTACTGTTTGCCTGGTCAGCAGAGCTATCTATTTTTAAGCCTTAAGTTCTGTGTTCCATGTTTGGGGCAGATGGCAATAGTGAGAAAATGGCTGTTTTTTGTTTTGTTTCGTTTTGTTTTTTAAAGAAAGAAAACAGTTAACTACCAAATGGAGTAGGGCACAGGGGCTGGAGTATGCGAGCTTTGGAACAGATGAGGCTGAGTTCAAATCTTTGCTTTGCTCTGTGAGACCCTGAGTCAGTAACTTAACCTCACTCCA